AAATGCAACATGAGACACAAAGAATTTACATTATTCTTAATTTAACATACTAAAGTGATGGGAACCGGTCAATAGTCTAATTGTCATTGAGCTTCTGTTGTGAGCACTTAATAACAAGCCTTTGCCCTTAAGGACATTTAAAGCGGTGGAGTTTCGGAGTGTGTCACTGGCTGCAGATCTCCCAGCAGAGCCCCTCATTCAGAATACAGTTTTAACTCTGGAACAGTCCAGTGTAGGATTTAACTGTCAATAGGGTGATTTAATGGATGAGTCAGCTTTTGCTGAGATGTAGGGTAGCTAACTGGATTTCTAAATAGTACTGGTGGTTTTAATGTGCTTATTATATCTGAATATGGAATTCAAGCTGTAGTACAAAGGGAAGGTCTGGTCTATCCCAATCCCAATTTTATCGGCTGTTGCCCTACTACTGTATTTTTTGACCAGTCCAGGTACCGCTAATTGAAACCTGGAGTGGGAGTTTATAGTGGATTTACTGGTTAGTCAGCGCCACCTGGTGTTCATATGCAATTTTGCAGTTTAACTGACACATATCTAGTCAGTTCTCTGTAGTGCAGCTTAAATGATTTGTGCCAGCATTGCTCAAAATTGATTCTATAAAAGATTAACTAATAAAAAAAGTTATATTTATATATAACATTATTTGTTTATTATTTTATCATTTGTAATACTATTAATTAAAATAATTATCTTAAATGAGTAATTAAAATGTATTAATTATTATATAATTTTAAATTATTAATTAATTATTATTACAATATAATGTATAAATATAAATGTATCATTATAAAAATGTATAATTATACATTTATCAACATATTATTATAATAATCATTATTGTGATATTTTTATATTAAACTATTGAAATAAAAATTATTAAATTATATTTTATATATTATCTCAAATATTTAATTACATTGATAATTATTAATTTTATTATTTAAAATGAATTCATATTGATAATTTTATTATCAATTTGATATTTATTATTATTATTATTATTGTTATTTCTATTTGTATAGTTATTAATATGTTTTTATTAATATACTGGTATCCCATAAGGGTAGTCCAGAAGTATTGAATGTTTATGTCATTAACTAATGGAATTTTTGTATCCTCACAGCCATCCTGGGAATGTACACACTCATGAGCAACAAGCAATATTATGATGCCCTGAACACCACTGGCAAGATTGCCAACACAGAAGGCATCAACAGTATGTATACATACAGCACATTTAACACTGAACCACTTAATGTCAAACAAAAGTTTTATATGTGTTTTTTTCCATTTTTGTTGAATTTTTCACTTCAGTATATACAATAGTTCTATATAAGCTGGTCAATACTCTTTTAGGTGTGGTGAAACCAGATGTGTATAAGGTCTATCCCGAAGAGCCTCCTAATGACACAGATGTAGAGGAAACTCTACACCTCATCCAGAAAAACGACAGCAGGCTGATGGAGGTCAACCTCAACAACATCCCGGTAAACATGCTAACTGTACTCCCACCTCAATAAGCATAATTATGATCACATTACAGGCTGGGCATAATACTAATATTATAAACAGACTGCCTAATTATACTTTCAGTTACACTTTCACTTCTGATCAATTACCATTATTAATCATAAGAATTGATGCATTTCTCTGCATGAGCAGAAAGAAATAGTGACGACTGTTTGTGTTGCTGTAGGACATTCCCATCCCAACCCTGAAAGCGATTTTTGAGGCTATGGAGCGTAACACACATGTGCTAAGCCTCAGCATTGCTGGGACACGCAGTAATGACCCCGTGGCCCATGTAAGTCCTGAAGCCTGTGTTTTTGATGTTATTTCATTCATTCATTCATTCATTCATTCATTTGCTTCAATCTCATATATTTCTTCCACATACAAATCTGAAGACATATTGCTAAATGTGTAAAAGTGTGTCTTGATAAAATAAAATCTAAAATCGTAGCCTATGTGAATTTTCATTAAAAAATGCTGTCAATAATAGTAAACATATATTTTATAGACTCAAACAGTGGAGCTTGTTTTTTTTGTTAGATTTTATCAAAACTATTCAGTTTAGTTATGTACACTAAAGTTCAAAAGTTTTGAGTCAGTAAGATTTTTTTTTAAATAAATTAATAAGTTTTTTCAGCAAGGATGCTTTAAATTGATCAAAAGTGACAAGACATTTATACTGTAAGAAAAGATTTATATTTCAAATAAATGTTGATTTTTTAAAACTTTATCTTCATTAAAAAATGAATCCAGGGAAAACACACTGTTTCCACACAAATATTAATCCGCACAACTGTTTTCAGCATTGATGATAATAATAATAAATGTTTCTTGAGCAGCAAATCAGCATATTAGAAGGATCATGTGACACTGGAAACTGCAGTAATGGCTGCTAAAAATTCAGCTCTGCCATCACATGAACAAATTACATTTTAAAATAAATGAAAATAGAAAACATTTGTTTTTATAGTATAATATATATACAGTATATACTGTATATATATATATATATATATATATATACTGTATTTTTGAATGTAGTCTTGGTTAGTATAAGAGACAAAAACATTTAAAAATCTTACTGACCCCACATTTGAATCAATAGTTATTTTTAATATTCTTCATAAAATCAATTTTCAACTCTGTTTTCCTCTGTATGTATTGTGATGATGTCAGTTGTTTCTCCTGCTCTGTTCCTGTGAGTCAGGCTATAGCTGAGATGTTACAGTCCAACACTACCCTGCAGAGCCTCAACATTGAGTCCAACTTCATTACTGCCCAAGGCATGATGGCCATCATCAAGGCACTGAAGGAAAACTCCACCCTGACTGAGATCAAGATCGACAACCAAGTAAGAGCCTAAAACTCTCCTTCCAAAAACATCTGATGGCATGAGTTTCAAATCTGAAAACGAAATTGTTCATGTGCATTCTCACAGAGACAGAAACTAGGCGACTCAGTTGAGATGGAGATTGCATCCATGGTGGAGAACAACCCCAGCATCATAAAGATTGGTTATCACTTCACTCAGCAGGGCCCGCGTGCAAGAGCCGCGATGGCCATCACCAGAAACAATGATATCTGTGAGTGTATTCTCATATTATTTTCCCAAACATTGCAGCTTGTACTTGTCTTTAGCTGAAACAGGAACATTTTTTTCATTCATTTTGATGTTTGTTCCTACACTGAACTTGATATTTTGTGTTTATCCCATCTCCAGTTCGTCAACAGAGAGTAAGATGAAAAGAGGATGGAGTTTAGTTCATTTAGGAGATATCAAAGTTCTCATGCGCACTCTTGGAGTCCTATACGCTCTCCAGTAACAGCCAGGACAACCCCTACAGATGAACCCGATATGCTTTTACCATTCGCCATCAGCCATTGTGGATATTATTATCGCCAACTTGATAAGACTTCATTGCTTTTTGTGGATTTCATCAAATCAAAAGTTCTGATCTAATAAAATTGACCTGCTCCTTAATACCTCAGTTTGCAAACTTGAAAAAGACACCAGTTGCTCAGTTCTTTTTTTTTTTGGTAATATGGTGCTCCCGGAAAGGTTTTTTGTAAATATTTGAAATAAAATATTACATTCTATATTGTCTAATCAGACTTCAAAGTTTCATTAAATTACAAAACCATCATTTAATCCAGGTTTGTTCTGTGAAAACACTGACATACACTTATGTGCAAAGGTTTGGAGTCAATAGGTTATTTAAAAAATTTTTTTTAAAGAAATTAATATTTTTATTTAGCAAGGATGCATTCAACTGATCAAAAACAACAGCAAATACACTGTATTTACATTGTTACAGAAAAGTTCTATTGCAAATACATTCTGTTCTTTTGAACTTTCTATTCACAGTAAAGTTTCACAGTATCACAGTTTCCACAAAATAGTAAGCAGCACAACTGTTCAACATTGATAGTAGGAAATGATTTCTTAAAAACCAAATCTGCATATTAAAATGTTTACAGAAGGATCATGTGACACTGAATGGTTGCTGAAAATTCAGCTCTGCCATCACAGGAATAAATTATTTTAAAATACAAAAAACAATTAAGTTGCAATATTTCACAATATTACCATTTTACTGTATTTTTGATCAGATGCAGCTTTGCTGAGCATTTCTTTCAAAAAAAATTAAAAAGTCTTACCAACCCCATATTTTTGAACGGTAGTGTAAATACTCTAATGCATTCTCAGAGCAGATGCTCTCAGCACACTCACTGTACAAAACAGCTTCATTATCATTTATAGATCTGGACTGTAACAATTTAGATTAGATTTAGATGATGCATTATTGAATTAATGGAGGATTGAGATAAAATAATGCATGACTCATTTCATAACTTTAATTATATGATGACCCAAACCCAGAGGCACAAAACAAATGGAACTATTCAATATTCCATGGCAGGGCTTCCTGCTCCCCCTCTACTAACCTATTTTTACACACGAACCAGCCAGTCATGAAACCCAGTCTCATGGGTTTGAGTTACAACGCTCCAAATATACTACTGTACCTTCCTCGAGTAGATTTATGCTACCCATTTGGAACATTAACTACCATTATTGCCATTTTTAAAGACTAATATATACATGGAGTATTTTTTTTAATTCTACACATTTGTGACTTCAAGCATATTGGTTAATGTGGGGTTTTGATTTTGTTGGCTGTCTAAACTTTACAGGCCTACATCAGAATGTGAAGTCCCACTATGCCAAAATCTGATGGCACATGGCACTTAGCAAAGGATCAGAACGAAGCTGCCATTCCACATTCTGTTCTCGTTTTGGAATAGATTTGGACCTCTTTCATCATACAACCAACATTCTGACATTGAAAGTAAAAGGATAATGTAAATATTTAAATATGAAAATATTTGTGAAAATACACCAGATGAGATTCAACACAATGAGGTCACAACCTCCTTACTTTATTCACATAGAAATATTACAATTCTTTTTGCATGTTCTATATTAAAACAACCTCTGTTGGTTCAGATATTGTTTAAACACGATGGCAAGTACATAGTACTAATACAATTTGCAAAATGCAACAGCACAAACTCTTTTCCAGAAAGAATGTCTTATATTTTCGTCCTTATTGTATATAAAGTAGGTCACAGAAATGTCATATGAGAGCTGTGACTAGAGACAATATCGTTATCTTGCACGCAGTTCAGTTTAAATGTATTCTGAAGCATTTTTGGCAGTTACTGAACAGCATTGAGTCTACTATGAAGATTCACTGCAAGGAGGTAACAGAGCCGGTTCTTCTTCATCTGAGTCAAACTCAGCATTCTCATCTTTAACCCATTTACCACTTCTGTCCTGCAGCCACCCTGAACTGGAACAGACAAGTGAGAAAAAAGGAGAAAAAGAGAATGAGAGATCATCTATGAGAAGCATACAGTTATTTAATGAATTCTATGTGGGTACTACAGATGAGATCATTTAGTTTTAAATGAATAGTACACACCCTCAGGTCATCCATGATGTAGATGAGTTTGTTCATCAAAAACAGATTTGGAGAAATTTAGCATTAGATCACTTGCTTACTAGTGGATCCTCTGCAGTGAATGGGTGCCGTCAGAATGAGAGATTTTGAAGAAACAAATTCATCACTGTAAACTGTTGTTTCTGGCCACAAGACTAGTCCATAACACATAATAACACATCCACCAGTGGAAAAAGTCCATCCACTGTTGTCCTCTCACATCAAAATTTGAAAATGAAAATTGAAATATTTAGAACTGTTTTTGCTTATAAATGGTGCTTGATCTGTTCATATTTCTCTCTCGTTAAAAATGTCTGATGAATTTGTTACTTACAACGTGTAGCTTTTCACTTCACAATATGTTAATTGGTGGGAGTCATGTGGATTACTTATGGATTATTGTGATGTTTTTATCAGCTGTTTGGACTCATTCTGACGGCACCCATTTACTGCAGAGGATCCATTGGTGAGCAAGTGATGTAATGCTAAATTTCTCCAAATCTGTTCCGATGAAGAAACAAACTCATCTACTTGGATGGCCTGAGAGGGCAAGTACATTTTCAGCAAATGTTTATTTTTGGGTGAACTATTCCTTTAATACCTATTTGGATGTTAGCATCAGTTCTGTAGTCAGAATGTGAGTTAAATGTGAGTCACTGTGCCAAGTGTTGTCATACCTTTTTAATTTGAGGTAGTGTTCCAGTTCTTTGCGTCTCTCATCTGTTAGAGGCTCACACACAGTGCTGGATCCGTTCTTCCTCTTCTTTGTCTCTCCTTTTTCTTTAGTCTGTCCCTGATGCACTACAAATGACAATTAACATAATGCATATGGAAAATGAAAAAGATATAAGCACAAAATGTCTACAGCCTTTAAATAAATATTTGTAGTACCTGTTGTACTAGTTGTTGCTATGGAGTCAATACTTCCTGTCCTAATGGACGAATGAGTTGATGAGTTGATATTGTTGATTTGATCTTTTCTGTCTTCTTGACCACATCCTGATGATTCCAATCGTTCACTTCATGAATGTAGAAATAGATTAAATAAATGTGCAAAAAATTAAATAATCAATGAAACTAAAAAGACACAAACAGCCTAGAGAGGAATATAAAAAATTCAGACATATGACACAAAGATGGTTCAGCTCACAGACATTACCTGGCCTTTCTGTGGCAGCTACTGTATGGAGCAGTTCTGAGTAGGGCATGATGGGTAATTTTACGTGTTTGGCTCAGTAGAGGAGCTGAACTGGAGGGTTCCTGAGGACAAGAGATAATGTAATGAGTATATGACCTTGTTATATTTGTATGTATTAAAGTCTGAGACCACACTGAAAATCTGTGATTTAAAATCAAAAATAATTTTTTTTTAATAAAAAAAAAAAGAAATATTATGATGTCAAATGAAGAAGAAATATTTAAGATGCTGCACTTTTTTTTGGGCCAAATAAATGACAATTTAAAGACAATTTTAAATGTGTGTAAACTTCTCACGTTCATTGTTATATAAATTACAATATGAGATGATAAAATTTGGATGGCTTTTTGAATTCTACTGGTTCACAAAACCAGTAGAATTCAAACGAAGTTGAACTCAAACGAGTTCAGCTACCTGTTGATCATCTTCTGCTTTAACATAGTCTTGATGTCTTCTTTTATCAATTTCACGTTGCAGGTGATTCTTTTTTCCATAGAACCATTTCATTCCTATAAACAAATAGACCAAAGTTAACATTAAATCCTGAATGCTGGTTTATACAGAAGCTGAGTAAATGCAAAGGTAGAATCTCACCTTCAAGGTGTCGCTTTCCCTTCCTGTGCACCACGAGCATATCAACAGTGTCAAACACAGGACGGTGAGAACACACAAGGCAGCTGTATCTACAGTGGGGGATAACACATATTACTTAGTGAATGGGACTTTGAATGTTACCGACTTCTTTCTGCAATCCAAACAGCCTGCAATAAATAATCACCTTCCGTTTTTCATCAGAGTAGCTTCATCATCTGGGATGAAGTTAGACAGAAGATCTGCAACGCGTCGCTTCTTGTAAGAGAACGAGAGACAGAACAGTGAGAAAAAGGGAAAAGGGACTGGTGCATGTGTACAAATAACACATATCGGTCTGCTTGCTGTTTTTGTTATACCTTCAGTACATTTAGCTGACTTTGATCATCACCCTCCCTTTTGAAAGACATGTTTGGCGACCTGCAGTCTTGTTTATCCAGGTATTAAAAGCAGCTATTTCTTATTTCGCCACCGCCGGCTTACTAATAACATCCCTTTCTTCCTGTTTTTGTCTCTGGAATTATGGGTAACGTTAGTGATGTCCGATTCATGATTTATCGAGTCAGTTCGTGAATGATTCCTTCGCAAATCGGACTCATGCCTTCAAAGCTAAACCACTCTCTTTGTATGAATGACTGTCCGTCTCAAAATAAGGTTTATTCGTGTTCAAGGCATGTAAAACCTCAAGAAACAGGTGATGACGAAAAAGAACTGACGAATCAGTTTAAAGCAGTTTATTGTCCAAAAGAATCGATTCGCTGGAGTGGGACATGGGAGGATCTTATATTTAGCTGACGCCATGGCAACAGAGGCTAAAATAATCTGTTAAGGGCTTGGGACAAATAAGTATTAAGACTGTCTGAACTTAAAATGTAACGGCTACCGGTAATATATCTCTATTATTTTTATGGTTGATTATTTACTTAATGTCTGAATTGTTCGTTTTTGGGGCGGCACTGTTATTTAAGCGAGTTAAGTTAGTTAAAAAATGTTAAAACGTCTGTGGGTCTGCGTAGGACCGAGTTATTATTTGTCACAGTGTGCTTTATTTACTAGTTAAGTGGCGTTAAAAGCTTTCGGTTCGCAATGTCGATCGCCGACCAGTTTAATCTAACAATTAAATCAGAGATTGTTTGTTTATTGTTGCAGACGTTATTTCTTTATTTAAATTGACTCATAGCAGAAGCTGATATGTTCACTCCTGCCGTCATGCGTTCAGCAGCCGCAGATGGTCAGCTGAAGTTCATCTTAAGTCATTATTAGTTAAAGGTTAAACGCTGGAGCTCGGGTCATGTCTTCCGATCACTCAGCGTCACTGGCGGGGACTCGCGGCCTCCTACGCGGCCTCGTGTCTAGGGATGGGCGGATCGATCCTTAAGTATCGATACTTTCGATACTGATGTTGTATCGAAAGGATCGATCCTCACATAAAAATATCGATTCTGAAGTGCATTTTTTTAAACATTATTTTTATTTACTTATCAAGAAATTCGGTGCATAAAATACGCTTTTAAGTGGAAAAATAGACTATATTAGCGAATAATTGTGTTGAATAGAACCATTTCTCCTGCTCATCGGAACACACGCAAATGCTGAAAGACAGAACCAATCAATCACAGACAGCGTTCGCTGCTGACGCATGGCTCACAGTGCTTGTTCAAATAGAGTTGCGTTTCCCAAAAGCATCAGAAGCGTAAGTAGATCTTAAGAAACCATTGCCACATTATTACATTACATTTACCATGATAATAATAATAATAATAATAATACTACATTTTAGTACCTATGTAACACCATGTTTATTTTTCATGAGGTACCCTCAAAGGTGCACCTTTGTAACTTATCTACCCTTAAAACATGCATACTTGTATGGTACTAATATGCTCACTTTTAGGGGTATAGTTGCACCTTTGAGGTTACTGCCCCATTAAAGGGCTAAAATATACAATTATAGTATATTTTATTTCTAAAAGTGTAAACAAAAAAGGCATATGAAATGTTAAAAAAACATGGCTTTAAAAGCTAATATTAAGTGAGTATAATTACTGATTATATATTCTTTCAATAATTTAAAAGATCAGTTTAGCTTAGAAGTATCGGTATCGATATCGACGATACTGGGCTTGAAAATATCGGTATCGGATCGAAAATAAAATAAGAGGTATCGCCCATCCCTACTCGTGTCCTCTTCATTATCACGCGTTAGACAAAGACGAATTAAACACAAAGTTCAGCCCGGTGAGACTTTGCAAGGACTATCACTGAAATATGGCATGTCTGTAAGTAAACAGAAAGCAGGTATTTGAGGAATTTGACCTTTTAAAACTTTAGTTGGATGTAATTACTAAATTATCAGCGTAATGTACTTTCAACTTCTTTTTCTGTCTTTACAGATGGAGGAAATAAAAAGGGCAAACAGACTGTACACAAATGATTCAATATTCCTGAAGGAGTCCCTCTTCATCCCCGTGCTGATAGAGTCTGTGTCTTTCACAAACGGAGTGGAATTGACTGAGGACGAAGCAAGTCCAGCAGCACAAATACACAGAGATTTCTAATGAGATCCCCAAAAGCCAAACAGACTCTAGATGTGAAGCCAATGCTGATCTGTCACCAGTGGAATACCTGAAAAAGATAGACAGCTTGATCAGTCAGTCCAAACAAGCAGCTGTGAAGACCTGCCAGGAGGGAGAGAAACAGTTTTCAGAATGAAATTATGACTGCTGTCATTATTGGGATACAGAGTTCACTTATTGTATATCGTTTTGTTTGCTGTCAGCTGAGTCGTTCAACAAGTATGAGCTCAATGGAAGAACCATGAGTCATACGACTTGGGGTTCCAGTGAGCATCAGCTGATTCATTACACCGAAAAAAAAAATTGGTGTGGAATTTAAGGCAAGTTCACACCAAGGACGATACTACAACGATTAAGATATAGTAAGTCCTGAATTGAGAGGCCACACCTCAACTATAACGATAACAGCACAGACGAACGATATTGTTGAAATCATGACCTTTTTTCCAGCTGATGAACAATAAAAACATTGACAGCCAAACAGAATCCATCCTGTTTTAAAGAGGTTGAGCATTTAAAATGGCCGTAACCGTTAAGGCTGGGACACACCAAGCCGAGCGACGGTCGGGCTAGTTTGTTTGGTGTGTTCCACTCGTCTCGATCACGTGACTACTAAACAGTGCTGTGAGAAGGATTAGATTTTTGCGCAGAAGGCTCTGATACAAACCACACATGTCATGGTGAGTTGAACTAGTTTAAAGCCAGATGAAACAGCTTTGGTATTCTCAACAACACTGACATGGAAATAACTAAATGCCTTAAGGCTTAAGCCGTTCTAGATACCTTGGCAACTGTTACTTTTTACCATGGTGGTGCCATGTATGATACTGTGGAAGACCAAAGGTTAATTTTAATGAGATTAGAGTTCTACCTCAGTAAGAATATTCATATTTTACCCTTTAAAAAAGATTTTTAATGTTTTTTAACGTTGTTACATTTTTACAGATGATACTGTTTGTGTTAATGAAAATCCATAAATAAATCTGCATCCCAACTCAAGCTACTGCTTCAGTCAACTTAAGCTACTGTCCAAGAGACAAAACATGTATTATTGTAAATATTGCTGGTGCCACTGGTCTCAAATGTTGGTCTGGAGACTAGTATATATGCCCTGTATGTGTGTGTGCGTATATATATATATATATATATATATATATATATACACACAGTGTTGGGAAGGTTACTTTGGAAATGTAATAGGTTACAGATTACAAGTTACCCTATTTAAAATGTAATAGTAGT